CAAAAAAAAAACCACACACACACACAAAAACCCCCCAAAAACCCCCCCAAAACAAAAATTTTATTTGGGGGCTTGGAATTCAGGTCAGTGGCGCCACACCTGCCTGGCAAGTGCAAGGTCCCAAGTTCAATTCCCACTACCAAAGCAACAACAAACTTTATTTGACTCTCTTCTTAGGTGATCATTTAAGACTTTATTTAAAAGCAAAAAAATACAGTCTATGTATTGTGCTTCTTGTGGAACTTTGTAGTTTGATAATTAAATAACCTATGTGGGCCCAATACACTTCATTGTACAAGCAGAGGCTATAAGGTATCATATTTAGCATAGTGCACAATGCTGCCTACGGTTCTTTTGGATATTTTTGCTTAGCCTATAGAAAGCTTTAATTACTGAGCCGATTTGGTGTGGTTAGGGTAGTTGAAGGTTATCTGTTTGGGGAAAAGTTGAACTGTGGACTGAGATATTAGGAGATGGATTATAGGAGAGTTAGAAGATGGTTTGGTGGCAGTCAGAAGTGTGGAACATGCACACATTTGGAATGACAACATAAGATGTGCAGAGACAGCAATTATTACGATAACTGAAGACTTTTTCTTGCTGGTGTTCAATTTTAAGTGTTAACTACTTTGATTTGAAGCCCAAATTATTTTTATGCCCTGAAGAGTTGTTTAAAGTGTTTAAGGTGGTTGCTCTGGAATGCTTGCTTGATGAGAAGGCTGTCTGTGAATTGGACTGGTTTTTCATACTAATTTGCTACCCAGTCTAGAGTGCTTTCTTTTCTCTGAGTTTTTGCCAGTGTTCTTTCTTAGAGATCAGTTCCTATAAAACATTCTTTTTCCATGTTAAGAATAGTATAAGGTGATTTGGAATCATAAATTTGAGATACTATTTTGTCTCATTTTACTCATGTATTTCTTTATAAATAACCCTCTTGGAGTGATTAGACAGATATCACACAGATGAACTTAACCCCTTGTCTGGAACACGTAAATAATAGAAGATCATTTTGCTTTTAAACATGTTAAATATATTTAACACAAACTTTATCATTTAACCATTTAAAAAGTATATTTCGGTAGTATTAAATATGTTGATAGTGTTTTGTAACCCTCACTGCCACCCATCTCCAGAACTTTTGTTCATCTTTTAAAACTGAAACGATCACTATGAAGCAATGACTACCCATCTCCCCAGCTTCTCAGCCTCTGGTACTGCCATTCTACTTTTGGTCTCTAAATTTGATTCCACTAGGTACCACATATAAGTAGGATTACACAGTATTTATCCTTTTGTGATGGCCTTACTTGTGTAATGTCCTTAACATTTATCAGTGCTGTAGCATGTGTCTGAATTTTCTTTGAGGATGTAAATTTTTAAAAATC